AATTAGACTTTTTAAGAATCCTCATTTAGCCGATTGTTTTACAACCACGACGACTAAAGTTAAATAAAAGGACACGCTGGGCTGAGCTATTTCTTTGATTAACTACTCTTAATAAATTTGATCTGCTTTTTTTTTTCAAAAAAGTCGTCTATCGGTAAATTCTTTGTTTATTAAATCCATGTGATTGTTTATTTTCACACGCGACCAATTGTGTTACCACGTAATTGAATAATGGGCTGGCTAAGATCTTTTTCTTTTGAATGAACTTTTTTTCCTACCATTTATTTTTTTAAAAATGGTAATCAATTGTGCTTGACTCATTTGTTTATTTTCACACGTGATGTCAATTAATATTAAGGGTGATGTTTTTTTTAATTTTAAAAAAAATTTAGACGAGAAACAATCTAATTTTATTCAAATATAAAGAAACACTAAATAAAACAACAACAACTTGGCATCATATAATCTTATTTAACGATTTTGCAAAGAACAATCAATAAATCTTTAATGATTTTGCAAAGACCATCCAATAAACCTCTAGTAACTATTCCAAAATAGTTTTCTATATTTTTTTTTTTTTTTGGACCCTCAACTAAAAGTTTTCCAAATATTTTTCATATCAAATTTAACCCTTGAACAATTCAATATATAAGAAATAAAAATCCATTTTCATTCTTATCGTTGGTCAAATTTAATAGCCGGTAAAAGTGAATCGACCAAATTTTAAAGAAAATTACAAGGACAATGATCTATAGGTTGAACTCAAATATAAAATTCATATTAATATTAGAAAGTATCACCAAATTAGGGAAGACAAAAGGAAATCTCGGGAAAAAACCTGTATCAGTATGATGATGATATCACCTAATTTATAATAATTTCAAATGTTTCAAAGGATTGTTTTGTGTGATTTAGAAGCCATGGATATATTAAATAAATACATTAAATAAAGATATTTCAGGAAATATTATTGTCTGTTCTTATGTCTCTGTTCTTTTGTCTCATGTTTATTGCCAATTTACTTTTTGAATATTCCTTTAACTGGCTTCTTGTAATTAGATAATAAGAAAATTTTTTAATTCAAACTAAATATTATCTTATTGAAAAAAAAAAAAAAAAGTATTACGAGCACAAATTGTTGTATTGATAAATATAGTGCGGAATTTTTAATTTCAAAATCCACGTACAACATCATCATCGTCAAAACGATGCCGACTGCTAACTTATTTAGGAAATAAAAAGAGCCTTTCTGGGAATTTATATTATAGTACACATTGTTTGGCGCGCATAATAACAAATAAATTTGTCTATACAATAGTAATAACGGAGTAATTTTAGCATTTAATCAATATAAATAAAACAAATAAAATGCTTGTTGCGTGGCAAGAATCATGATGTTCATGCATTAAATCCATCCATTTTGCCAATTTGGTCACAAAATAAGTTTTCCCATAATTCTGATTTTTCATTTTTCAAATACAATGTTGGCGCACTCATGTTGACATTTACCTTATAAGAATTCTTATTTACATTGTCCCCATCAGTAAGCAAAAATGCCTCAATTGCTTTTCTTTACCTTCAATCATATTTTTCCTTTTAAGGTAATACCATAGTGTCATTACGTTCACTTTACCTTCTTGCTGATTTAATAAATTTTCTTGACACCTAATGCATGTTTGCAATAAAATATTAAAATAAAAAACTCTCTCGTATCAATCGCATTTGACTCTGATTATAATTCTTCGTAATTAATTTCACCAGCGATTATGGATTAACAAATCCCAAAATCTTTTTTTAATTTGATAATTCTATATATTTAAAATACATGATTGGTGACTTAGAATTTCATGTGAATTTATAATTTACTTTTATAATTTTAATTGGGAGATTTATAAAACATAAAATTTTACAATTCAACATAAAAGTGTAAAGTATTAATTGAGAATTCTGATCTTAATACTTTGCATATCTCGATTACAAGATCTATGCCAAGTAAAATATCACTAAACCATTGTTGACATTAGTGCATTAATATCTCCAAACTATATATATTATGATATTATGTATGGTTTGCTATTTAATGCTTGAAATAGTATCATTCATATAAAATTTAGGATGTCGAGATATTTTTTTTTATTTGTTTGTTTATTTATTATTATTATTTACATATAAAATATGTCTTGAGGACTTTCTTCAGGGTACATGTTGACTCTATTCTCCTCTAGGGAAATTATCAAATATAAACTGGCTCTTATTCTTTAACTTAAAATCATGCCTGCGGCTTTAGTAACACACTGGATATCATTAAGTCTTCACTCTTTGAGATATAACCGCTATCCTAGACAATCCACCAGTGGTAATGTCTCAGCCAATAGATTGAGATTGCCATAACCACTTAATATTAATATTAACAATTTACAATCATTTCATTAGTAGTAAAACTAAATACATATATAGTAAGTAAATTGTAAAAGATTTTTATGAAAATCAATAAAGGTCAATCAATTCATTATCCGTCTGTTACCAAATAAGTTGAACTGTTTCCAACGAGTTGATTTTCATAATAATTACAGGGAAGAATGACAACAGTATGTACAACAATTGTGTTGATGAGCAGTAACAGTGTTGTGAAATTGAGAAGCAACTATTTGTTGTCGTTGATAAAAAACATAAAGCAATTTTTATTCTTATTTAAAAGGAAAGTTAGTTATAAATTATTAGAAGTTGAATTAGGACAAGCATTAAGTTATATAATATAATATATTAACAAATTATTTATAATCATTATTTCTAAATTATTGAATATTTTAAAAATTAATATATAATACATGCAAGTTTTCATTGGTTGCCAACGATATGATCTTTATTTATGCTTATTCACGCGATTTTAATTAATCAATGGTGGGGGGATCTTTTAATAAAAAAAAATCATTGTTTATAAAAAATTCGGGGCTGTGTTTGTGAAATTGTTATACGACATACAAACATTACGTTAATGTATTATATATTATTTGCATCGTAAGAGCATATCTCATCTAATTATTCATAAAATATTTATTAATATTAATGAATAAGGAATAAAACAATAGAGGTTTACCAAAAAAGCTATATTAATTGCGGCAGAAATTACAGATTCTTCGCCTAACAATAACAAAACACAAATTGAAAAAAACAACATTATTGAGTTTGAACTTTCATTATGGTTTTTTGTATTGACATATACCACCAATTTGTAGCCAATGGGCCATGACGAATTTCTAGTACAAGATAATAAATTTATATGAATATTTTGATTTTTTATTGTGTTTATTAATTAATGGGCTAGGAAAGCCGCCATTCTGAAAAATGTCTCTAAAGATAACACCTCCCGAAAGATAGCACCCCCTTACTTTAAAAACAATTTTATTATATTAATTAATATTAATATTAATAAAAAATGGGGTGTTATCTTTCGAGACTTTATGGTAGCCTGCCGATCTTATATGTATAAAAAATATCCTGTTGATAAACGATCTGCGAATTAATGTCAAATATTGATTGTATTATTACATGTGGTACATGTGGTGTTTTGTTTTGATAGTCTCAATTTAGAAATAGTAATAAGAAATTTAATAAATGAATTCAACGTACAAAGAAATGGTTAATTTTATTCAGATATCAAGAAATATTAAATAAAACAATAACAACTTAACTTCATATAACCTTATTTAACGATCTTACAAAGACGATTAAATTGATCCTGCAAAGACCATCCAATAAACCTTTAGTAATTATTCCAAAATAGTTGTCTATGACTTTTTTGGTCCCTCAACCAAAGTTTTCCAAATATTTTCATATCAAATTTAACCCTTGAACAAGCCAATATATAAGAACTTTCATTCTTATTGTTGGTCAATTTAACTTAATGGCCGGTAAAAATGGATCGACCACCTTTTAAAGAAGATTTTATGAATACTACAAGGACAATAATCTATAGGTTGAATCCAAATATGATTTTCATATTAGAAAATGATGCTCTCGAACTAAATTAAGGAAGACAAAGGGAATTTTTAGCCAAAAAACCATGACTTATTTCCTCACCTAGTTTATTGAAAATGCCTGGCTTACGATAATTAAATTATTATTATTTCAAAGGGTTGTTAGAAGCCATTTTAAAATAGGCGTCTTAGATTTATAGAATTTAATTGTATGTGAATTTGAAATTTAGTCAACTACACATGTAAACTCGATAAGTCGGTCGTAACATCAATTGTCTAAAGTACTTGATAATATAAATAAATGGCCGAGTATCAAGTTTACATGTGTAAAAGAAATTTCACGCCCATATTTAAAATTGGATTAATACTGTAAAACTTGTTTATGTTTCTCATTTATAAATAGTTCTTTTTACAATAAGAAAATATTTGGAATTAAAACTTCTTTTAGTCTTATTTGACTACAAGAAAAAAAGTTAAAGAATTTACTTTCTGAATATTCATTCAGGAAGTAAATCAACGCCATATGACAATAAACATGAGGTGAAAGAACAAAGGAATAACGTGAGTGGTATATTTTAAAAAGAACAGACATTATTTTCCTGAAATATCGTTATTGAATAGTCTTTAATGTATTTGTTTTAATATATATCATCTAAATATTAACGGTCGATTATCGGACGATCGGTGCGTCATTCTATCGATTAATTTAGATAATTTTTTTTTGAAAAAAAAAATTTTATGGTCGTGTGGGCGTAAATCATGATAAAAATAAAATTGTAATTTACCATTTGATACAATGTGGCAAGCATGGTATTCATTAAAAAATAATGATTATGTAATACGATTTCTTCTGATGTTCATTTTAATGTTACGAATGAATTGGTTCTAAAATATCAATAACAAACTTACTTACCTGTGCATTTTTATCCATAATATCTGACTTTACCAAGGTCATTAATTAAATCTTTGAACAAAGCCCATCAAGGTGCTCTCTACATTTAAATAGTCCATTTGCCAATTTGTTCACAAAGTAAGTTTTTCCCATAGTTCTGATTTTTCATTTTTCAAATACAATGTTGGCGTACTCATGTTGACATCTACCTTATAAAAACTCGTATTTACGTTGTTCCCATCAGTAAGCAAAAATGCCTCAATTGCTTTTCTTTACCTTCAATCATATTTTTCCTTTTAAATATAGATAATAACATAGTGCCGTTAAGTTCACTATATCTTCTTGCTGATTTAATAGACTCTGGATATAATTCTTCGTAATTAATTTCACCAGCAATTATAAACAAATCCCAGAATCTTTTTTGTCTAATTGTATAAATACATGATTGGTGGCTTAGAATTTTCATATAAAATTTTACAATTCAACGTAAAATTGTAAAGTATTAATTGAGAATTCTAGTCTTAATACTTGATTGCAAGATATATACCATGTAAAATATTGTTGTCCCGTTGAGATTACTGCATCAATACCCTAAATTATATACATTATGTATGTTTTGCTATTTAAACGCTTGAGAAATAGTATTGTTCATATATGCAAAATTTAAGATGTTGAGAAATTTCTATTTGTTTGTTATTACTATTTACATATAAAATATGCCTTGAGAACTTTCTTCGGGGTGCATGTTGACTCTATTCTCCCCTGGGGAAATAAACCGGTTCTTAATATCATGCTTGCAGCTCTATGAATCTGCATATTACGCACCGGAGATCACTAAGTCCTCACTCTTTGAGGTATAAACGCTATCCTAGACAATTCACCGGCGGTAATGTCTCAGCCAGTACATCGGGGTCGCTGTAACCATTTACTATTAATATTAATAATTTACAATCGCTTCATTAGTAGCAAACTAAACACAAAAATTTATATATATATAGTAAATTGTAAACGGGAAAATTTTTGTTATATATGATTTTTACCGTTATCGAGTAAATTGAACTGTTTCCAACAGGTTGATTTTCATAATAAAAACGACATCGTCAATTTAATTTTCTTCACATTGATGATCCACCTGAGATAGACTTGAAGTGTTGGGATTAATTGATGACTTCATACCATCGATATAAACCATTCAGATATATTATTCTGTGCTAAATGTCTGGCTGCAAGACACACCATAGTCTCGATGACATTAGAATAAGCGTTGCCATTCATTAATATTAATAGCACCCAAAGAATAAGATTCATTGAATACGATTTTTTCATTGATCGATTGACCGAATATAATAAATGAAATGAAATTTTCTCATGCCAAATAAATTCGTCCATTTGTTCATTCTAATTAATTAATTAAATTAATTATTCATTTCCATTTATTTAAAATGGAAGAAAAAAAGGTAATAATACGATAATGAAAGGGGAGTTTTCTGCTGCCCATAATTTGAAGTAAAGTATGTTTCTAAGAAATATGGAACTTGATGAAAGAAACTGAAATTGTAAAAGATGGTGGAGAAAATATAAAAAGGGCTATTTGTGGAGTTAATGTCTCCGAAACTTCTGATATTATTCTTCATTTTAATGTTGCAGGATATTAACATTACATGTTTATTGGGAATACAATGACCTCAAAAAGAATTTTTGAAAAAAAAATCGATAATTTTGGTATATAAAAAACGAACAATGATTATCCGGAATGAATATGTACTACAACAATTGTGATAATGGGAGTAATAACAATGATAATATTGACAATGAAGAAATTGTTGATAAGAAACACAAACTTTTTATTTAAAAGAGAGTTAATTAGTATTTATTCAATGATATTTCAATGAAAGAAAAAAATAAAAAAAAAAAGCCTTTTTGAATTAATCAACGGAGTTAACGTCAAAATTACTTGATAAACTATCTCTATTATTTATTCCTTTTTAAATTTACTTGTACGATGACACTTCCTGGATAAAAGTATAGGGACACCTGCAGATCATTGCAAATAATTGAATAAAGTGACATAAAAATTTTACTATCCCAATCACACCTGCTTATTAAGTAAAAATTAATCTACTATACTATAATATAAATAAAAACATTGTTGTTTTACAAACCTTAATATTAAAAGATAAACAATAAAATTCCGGAATTTTTTTTAAAATCTTTAACTCAAAAAGTGACCACACCAGCAAGTTCTAACGACCTTTGTAATATAAGTGAAAAATGTTTCTCATGTTTAAAACTAGTTAATTCTAAAATTTTAGAGCATTTGGTGAATTAATTAATGAGGAAAAAAGTAAATCGTTGAAAATTTTACAAAATGATTTAACCTCAAATTGCTCACTAATTTGAAAAATAAAAGACATTAAAAAATATATAAAACTATTTTAAATTGATTATATTTTATTAAAAAAAAATTAATATTTTGTCGGGTTTCTTCTACTTTCTAAAACAGCATCAACCCTTCATGGCATACTATCTATTAATTTTTTAAATATTCAAAATTGGAAAAAATCAATCCGTTTAGGATTTTTGTCCATAAATTGAGAAATAATATGGAAAACTTCGTGAAATTCTGCAAATAACTAATTTCAAACATGAGACACATTTTTTGCTCGTACCATAAAGGTCGTTAGAACTTGCTATTATGGTCAATTTTCGAGTCAAACATTTTTCTGAAAATTCCGAAATTTTCATTTTTTATCTTTTTAAGGTTTGTAAAACAACAATTTTTTTTTTTATATGCGGTAAAATCATCCAAAATGTTAAACTTTGAAAACGTATAGTCTTTATAACCAAACAAGTTGGAGTAAAAAAATTTCCGTGGTTTTTTTCTTTGTGATTCAAAGAATAGCCTGACAGAGAGTTTTTTTTAAAATTATTAGTAAAAAATGTTTATTAAAGGATTAAAGATGTACGATCTTATATATTAATAAAATTTTTTTGATAATCATTTCCTTTTAAAGAAAACGTAAAGTATCTTTCATAATAATAATAATAAAAATCGTAAATAACCAAGTTTAAATAAAGAAATATTTAGAATTAATCAGCTTTTGAATAAGTTATATTTTGTAAAAGTCTTTGTGTTTAATAAAATACCAAAGTCCAATAAAAGAAAAAGACTAATTCATAATGCACACGCAGTCAAAAAAATGAAAACTAATTCCTCAGAACTTTTACTCCTTGTAGAATCTCCCGTAAGATTAATTGAACGAGTAAATAATGTTATTTATTTTATTAAGGATTTTCTTCAAAAGGAAAAGATTTTGAAGGAATAAATTTATAAAAAAACAAAAAAAAATAATCGAATTTCTTTATATTTAATTATTTAAGTACATAATCACAGGACTAAGCTATAAACTGATATAAATAATTTTTTTATTGTTACAAAAATTATTTTATATTTTATCACGAAAACAAAGTTCAGAGCTGTTGTCTTTTAAACAATCAAAGCATAAACTACAATCCATTCTGTAAATATCCTTTTGATCACGTGATCCGTACCAATCGATTGAAAGACGGGAAGCGTCAATGTTGTTAAAGACTGTAATAATAGTGGGTTGGATGTGACTAAGCATTTGAATGGTGGATACGCTTGCAAAATTTATTGTTATTGAATTATGCAGTCAGAACTCGTTAAACCGAAGTAAATGCACAAAAAAAACCTTAATAAATCGGATAATAAAGTTTGTCGTGTGTATTCGGTTTATCAACACAAATAAAAAAAAGAAAAATCGGTAATACTCCCGATTTTTTGTCAAACTGATCAATAAATTATGGATTCTTACAATTTTTAGAATTGTCCCTATTTTTGATAAGTTAATTCGGGATTACCGATTGTCAACTGGTTATTAACATTGCCAAAAATCGGGTGGATAATTGGTTTTTTTTTGATTTGTTATCGAATTGTTCTAATTGGTCACTGAATACCTTATCATTATTATTGATGCAAGTTATAATAACAATTAAAATAACTTACGGAGAAATAAGTTATATAGCACTTCTTCATAAATCAGTGAATAATCATTCAGCAATTGATAAAAGATCAGCTAAAGTTTCAGGGTGTCTGATACGA